TTCGAGTCATGGTAGTGGGAGCGGGGAGGAAACATTTAGGAACTAGAGGAAAGTTGTATTTCTCATCATTGTTACATCGCATCCTGACTGGCTCATCTCCTCCCCAGACCCCTCTGCAAGGGGATCTCCAGTGGCCTACTAATGGGCTTTGGCCTGTGTCTTATATGATATTGAAAAGCATCTTTGCGTTTTTTTCCATTAGACCCCAGTGGCATTCTGTCTCCGGTTGTGACAACTCAAAATGCTTCCAAAACTGCCAATCGTCCCTGCGGCAAGGGGAATCTTTGGTAAACACAACCACTTCAGATTGAGTACTGGCTTCTGTGAATTTAAGACGATATAAGAGGACTTCAAAAGTTTGTGGGAAAGCTCCATTTTAATTTTCAGAAACGACCTTTCCTTTATATTTCCTACTTTCAACTTCAGAGAAATTTATTGCCTTCATTATTTAGTTCATAAAAAATTAGAGATTCTCTTCAATCTTCCGAGTTCATGTGCCCCTCTATAAAAGGAAATGAAGATGTCTTTGTGCACTGCTGGGTGAGCACTGGACTGCTGACCTCAAGGTCCATGGTGCAAATGCAGCAGCTGCTCCTTGGGACTCAGACGTCCTTTAGAGGGGCGACATGAGTCAGAGTCGACCCAATGCAACAGGTTACTTTAATAGTTAAAATGAGTGTTCTCTTTCAAATACTGAATTAGGAAAAAAAATTGAAATAGGTTGAGATATATAAAACCACAAAATATCAAATATAAAAAGAGGAGAAAAACTCTGGGTACCTCGCTTCATGAAACTTAAAAGCTACATCAAAACCGAGGGATACTTTGGAATCCTTTCTCATGGCAACCTCTAATGACAGTTTCAGGAAAGAAAATACTGGGGGGAATGCTTTTCAAAAGTATTGACAAGTTGTGGTCAGTATGCAGATGTGTCTCTAATATACACATAAAGCATAGGTTAGTGTATGTACTATACATTACACGCCTTGATGGTGTGAATGGTTGAGTGCTTGAATACTAGTCTAAAAGTTAGAAATTCAAACCCACCCAGGCCCTAGGGAGGACAGACTTGGCAATCTGTTTCTGGAAAGTCTTCAAAGCCCTACAGAGCGAAGTTTTACTTGGATTCACAGTGAGTTCACCTCGAGTCAGAGCCAACTCAGTGGCAACTAACCACAATCTATTTCATGTACTTTCATTTCCTTTAAAATTACACCTCGGACAATTCATCACAACCCATCCATCCATCCACTGTGTCAAGCACATTCGTACATTTGTTGCCATCATCATTCTCAAAACATTTGCTTTCTACTTGAGCCCTTGGTATCAGCTCATTTCCCCCCTCCCTCCCTCCCTCACCCTTGATAATTTATAAATTATTATTATTTTTTCATGTCTTAACACTGTTCGATGTCTCCCTTCACCCACTTTTCTGTTGTCTGTCCCCCAGGGAAGGGGTTATATGTAGATCATTGTAATCAGTCCTCCCTTTCTCCCCCACCTCCCCACTTGCCCTTCTGGTATCTCTACTCTCATTATTGGTCCTGAGGGGTTTATCTGTCCTGGATTCCGTGTGTTTCCACCTCTTATCTGTGTATGTACACTTTTATATGGTTAAAATTTCCCAGAAAAGTGAATCAACTGAATACTTAAAACACACACACACAAAACACAATTCTTTTCTTCAAAAATTTAAATATTTAAGAGACACATATTTTTGCCTAAAAGTTGCTGTTATAATAAACAGTGCAAAAAGTAGCAATCCCTAGAAAAAATTTCCAGGAAACAACACTAGAATTGTTTGCTAGAGTAAGTAAAATGTTCTGAGTGGGAGTTGTAGTTATTCTCTTCTATCCAGATTTTAGCATAAAATTTTAACATGTGAGTAGTAGAAATAAAATACATAATAGTCATTGTATAATCATACTCCAAAGTCTACACATACAAAATCCTTCATATGTAATGCACCTTGCTAATTAAACTAATATAGCTATAGTATATATTTACAATTGTTTTTTCTACTCAATTCCTACCAAAATTTAGATGTGATTCAAATTCAGTCTTAAAAAAACATAAAAACTTTACTATTCTTCTTCTTTACTATATACAGAGATTACAAAGGCTAACCAACATGAAGGAGACTAGGTTTAATGACATATCCTAATAATTCTTGAACATCACACATTGTGTACAATGATCTAATGATGTGTTTATGTTTACAAACACACTTAAAATTTGGTTAATTATTTAACTCAGCTAAGAAAAGGAGAATCTGAAAACACTGCATAACTGGAGGCCATACCTGAATAACCCACTGTCGATGCTGCCAGGCATGGTAATTCTTTGCATCCTGATTAAGAATATCAGCAATAAACGCAAGTTCCTGAGATGGATCTTTCAGCCATTCGACCAAAACTCGTCTATGATGCCTAAAGTCCATGGGAGAATAGAAATATACTTGTTAGTGCTAAACACGTTTGGCACTGCCCTTGGTGATGTGGAGTAATTCTCAAGAAACAGAAATTCATCTAATTCATCGCTAAGTCTCAATGCTCTATTAGCAAGAAAAGGTAATAAAGAAGAAACCCTTAGAAAAATGGACAGATTTTAAGTGAGAGTGCGGAACACAAAAAGAGATTTCTGTATAAAATAAAATCAGAAACTTTAGGCTTACAGAAGGTTTAGCTGAAGCTAAATCTGGAGCTACAGTAATCTTCTGAGAACCGTAATATTCCGTCAAAGGGCTCTTATTACCCGATGGCTTAATGAGTGACTGGGGAAACTGTGGCCCTATTTCATCCACTACAGAAGCTCCCCTACTTAAAACAGCCGGTCAATTTCCCCTAAATAAGAAGTGTCCCCTTTTCACTATCCCTATTGATGGGCAAAATGAATTTGCTTCTCCTCCAGTAAGGAGCGATGACAAGATACAAGATTATTAATATAAAATTTCTATACTAGGAAATTTTCTCTAAGAGTGTTCTGTTGAATTTCACTTCTGTAATTTTCCTCAACTGAGCTTTATAATCTATTAGACCACAATATGTATTATTCTAAAAATAGGTAGGAGTGATAGGAAAAAGGGAAGGAGTTAATGCTTAGTGAACAATCTATTTTATAAGCACAGAAAATTTTCAAATTTCGCAGGATTTGAAGAATGCAGGGTATTACCAAAAGAAGACCCTAGAAAGGCTTTTAAATAATTTATTTTTAACATGTTCTAATTCAGCATTCGTAGCATTTATTTTTTTCTAGGGTTCTGGCAAATTCTACAATTTAGGAAAATGTTACAAATGAGTGCCTTCAGTATGTCAATCTGATTTCTAGGAGCACCTCAAGAGTTCTTACTGAGGGCCTAGGGTTTAAATAGTACTACACATAGGCCCTTAAATTATAACATGAGTTTTCATACTGAGAATTTCATAAAAATGACCAATTAAGTATAACAGAGAACTGACATTACTTATGCTCTATAGGTTATAATGGTGACTAACCAACAAAAAAAAACTCTGTCTACGTTGATTCTGACTCATAGTGACTCCACAGGACAGAGCAGAACTGTGCCACATGGTTTCTGAGAGTACATCTTTATGCTCGGAGCAGACAACTTTCTCCTGTGGAGTAGCTGGTAGGTTTGAACCACCAAACCTCACAGTTAGTAATCCAATGATCAATCCACCACACCAGCAATTTAAAACAACCAAACTTAAAATAATTGTTGTGTTTTCAACCAAAGTAGCTTTGAGTGGTTCTGAGTTGCGTTTTACACTTGATCTTAGCCAAAAGGCCGAGAAATGATCTTGAGTTGCTTTTTAAAGTGACAAAGAATCACGAGGTATTAATGACAGCATCCGTAGTGTCAAGAAAACTTTCTTTAACACGAGTTAGAAATAATTAAATGCTGAGAAGATTCATGACATCTAGATATTATAGCTATAGATTTCTATATAAAAGCCTCTATTACTAAAATCCCACAGGAAAAATAACTTTTTAGTTGAGTGCTTTAAACACTAAACTGAAACAATTATTTCATAATGCAACTTTTTAGAAATTTAACAATTCACTTACAAACAAAGATGTTCCCATGGTAAAGTTGTCTAACTGAAAATCTAGCAACTGGAAATCTTTAATTTGCTATTTTCTTGCTTCAGTTATTCAGTAGTTACGTCCTTTTATATTCTAAATTCTTGGATAATTTCTTATACAAGGATATAGACTTCTGAACAATAATATTCGACTTGCAGATTATTACCACCCAGTTAAGCCAGATATATGCAGTCATGCTCCACATTTTAAAATTCTATCTTTTCAAAATTAGGCAAAGGTGTTCTTTGTAGTTAACCTACGTGCCAAGCTCTTACTTGATCCCCTACTCTATCCTATATTCTTAGTCTTTCTATTAATATTCTCCTCTTACTGTGAAGTCTTTCTTGAAAACTAAGACTCCCTGTCCTGCCCAGACATGTTGTGTTGTGGAAACATTCTACTACCGCCCGTGCATTGCGACTTTGTAAAAGCACCGTCATGACTTGCTTTTCTGTTTAAGACTGGACCTGGATCATTGTTGTATCTCTAGTAGTAATACAATTTTTAAAATAAACAAACTAATACAAGATCAAATATCAGAAAATAATTTTCTAGCGTACTAACAAGCAAGTTTTTTCATGTTCACATTTAAATTTTTATAAAAGCCACTAGCAATAATTGAGTGCTAGCTATAGATCAAGTACAATTTAAAATACTACACATAAAATTATCTCATTTAATTGTTCTTACAAATTTACGAAGGAAGTATTGTAAGTGCCTATGTAAACTACTAAAATCATTTTAAAAGCAACAAAGACCTCACAATCCCACCACTCAAAGGCACATTCTACTAGCATGGTACACACTTCTTTTCGTCTTCATCTTACCAAACTTGGTAGTTCTTAGGTTGCTCCTCGATTATCGCAGTGATATAGTCCATCTCCTCATGCAGATCCTTTTGAAGTGACTTTAAAAGAACTCTCCGAAAATGCCTAAGCAAACATCAAGCAAAGTCTACTTAAATCTACATAAAACTATCTAGCCAGAGTATAAAATACAGCTACAAAGTTTATTGTGACATTCTATATAACTAAACTTGGGCAAAATAATTGATCGTGATTATTCAAACTCATATTGTAATTAAAAGAATCAAGCATTTGGAAGTAAAAACAGTGAGAGACAAAAATGTGAGGTAGAAAAGTTCACCTTGGGGACCTTCGAAGGCACGACTATTAGTTTCTCCTCATCTAGAACAAAGAGTGGCGAAAATGAGACTGATGGATTAAGCAGACCACAGGAAGACTGGACCACATAAACCCCAGCCTCCACTGTCATGCGACAGAAGAGCTCCATGGTGGCCAGCTACCACTACTGCTCACTCCAAAAGAGATCCTCGTAAGAGATCTTGGAGAGAAATGTACAAAATAACTCAAATAGCGATCAGGCTTACCGGTCTCTTAAGAGATTGGTGATATTCCTGACAGCATGACCCTTACATACCTTCTTCTAGAAGGTCAGCCTTTGCTCAGACAGAACCTAGGGCAGCCTTTGCTCAGACAGAACACTGAGAGAGCAAGCAGGCACAGGAAAGGAGGACGAAGTAAAACTTTAATTACAGGGAGGAAGTGGCAAGAGCAGTATTACATTGTGGGGACTGCAGTTAGTACTACGAATTAAGATGACAAAGAATTGAGATTACTGCACAAAACTAAACCAAACCCAATTCCATCTAAATCACAACAAAAAGTTTTAACGTGTCAGTAATGGAAGCTTTACTGAAGGAGAGGAGCGGCACAGTTCTCTTCTAGAGTGTGCTGTCAGGAGTCCTGGTGGCACGCAGCTCCAAGAGCTGCACTGTGGACCAGCAGCTGCTCTGCACCCGCTCAGAAGCCCTAGAGGCAGCTCTCCCTGGTTCTAGAACGGCCACTAAGACCTAGAATCAGCTCAGTGGCAGTGGGCTTGGTTTAGCATGGCTATCAGCATGTTCTACAGTACAAGAACCAAAGAGAGCTCTTTCCCAGTACAACTTGTGTACTGTATGTACTATACACAGTACAATAAATTCCAATTCAAAGGTTCTCATTAATGTCTTCATAGAGTTGAACTGATAATTTTTGGGGTTTTGTTTTTCCGAAAACAGTTAATTCTGGTCTATTTTCATTTTAAAATTCTGTAAATTTCTAACTCAATATATATTAATAGATAACTTGCTCAGGAGCTCCTTTAAAGCTTTCTTTAAAAAATGCTATAAAAGAGGAACAACAGTATTTATCCTTTTATTACTAGTCAAATAAAATTAACTTAATAGAGGATATAAATACAGTCAGCATAGCTTACATGAGTATTTTAGCTAACCATGGCAGAGTGAACAAATGAGTTTATCTTTTCTTCATTAAAAAAAAAAAAGCCAGGTAAATGACAGCAAAAGAGAAAAAGGGAGTCAGTCCACAAGGACGAAGAAGAGGAGGCTGAGGGAAACCACAGCCATCAGGAGTAATCTACAAAACGTGGAAACTAAGTAAGCACACACAGGAGACGAGGGATGCCTTTTGTATTCAACAGTGGTAACACGTTTTACATCTGCACCAGTCTAGCAGATGCATTTGTTACAGTGTCTGAAACACTAAATCCAACAAAAAGGCAAACTTTTTGAAGGGAATAAATGAAAGGATGCTGCGGGTTGTGGCTCGGTGCAGCATAAACTCACTCGTGATTTCACTAAGAGCTGTGATGGAAGCAGGGAGAGTGTGAACTCATCTCCCAGAGAAGAACAGAGCATGAGAAAAGTGAGGGGGAGGAAAGGACATACACGGATTATTACTTGGATTAAAAATAAAAGCTCACTTAAGAAAAGCCATGCAAACCAAACAGGGAGACATTTATACAAGGAATATGAATGACGCATAGTACTCACCACACGGTGTAATTGGCAGCATTTAACTCAATAGCATCCCGGGTTAGTGCAAAAGCCCGCTCACTTCTTTCATCCTGTTGCAGAACAGCCCGGAAATAATCATAAACATCTCTAACTGGAGACAAAGCATACAACTGCATTAGGACTACCATTCTCATTTAAAATTGGAAATATAAAGCAAAACATTTAGAGAAGATTTCACGGCATGCACATCATTTGTAACAACATATTAAGTTCCCAGTATTCTTCCCCACAGAATCACCCACTCAGAACTGATTCTTTTTTTTTTTTTTCATTTTATTGGGGGTTCGTACAACTCTCACCACAATCCATACATACATCCATTGTGTCAAGCACATTTGTACATCTGTTGCCATCAACATTCTCAAAACATTTGCTTTCTACTTGAGCCCTTGGTATCCAGTTCATTTTCCCCCCTTCCTCCCCACTCCCTTCTCCCTTATGAACCCTTGATAATTTATAAATTATTATTCTGTCATCTTACATGGTGCAACATCTCCCTTCACCCACTTTTCTGTTGTCAATCCCCCAAGGAGGAGGCTATATGTAGATCCTTGTAATCGGTTCCACCTTTCTACGCCACCCTCCCAGTATCGCCACTCTCAGCACTGGTCCTGAAGGGATCATCTGTCCTGGATTCCCTGTGTTTCCAGTTCCTATCTGTACCGTGTACATCCTCTGGTCTAGCCGATTTGTAAGGTAGAATTAGGATCATAATAGTGAGGGAAAGGAAGCATTTAGGAACTGGAGGAAAGTTGTATGTTTCATCGTTGCTACACTGCACCCTGACTGGCTGGTCTCCTTCCTGAGACCCAACTGTAAGGGAGTGTCCAGTTGCCTACAGAGGGGTCTTGGGTCCCCATTCTGCACTACCCCCCTCTCATTCACAATGATTTGATTTTTTGTTAAGAACTGATTCTTATGGATCCTTACAAATATATACAAGTACACGGTCTAATCCCATCCTTTGAGTTAAAAATATAAATGGGATCACATTGCATTCAATGTTCTGGTCTCTATTAAAATGTCACGGGTAAATGGTGCAGGCTCTGTGGAGGGCAGCCTGGAGGTTCCCAAATAGTTACACACAGAACTACTATATGGTCCTGCCGTTCCACTGCTAGGTATGGCAGCAGGAAGCAAGCAGATACACAGTGGGGGAGCAGTGGTTACAAGTTGGGCTGCGAGCCCCATGGTCAGCAGTTTGAAACCACCAGCAGCTCCTCAGGAGAAAGACTGAGCTTTTTACTCCTGTAAACAGTTAGTCTTAGAAACTTGGCTCTGAGTCACCACTGACTCAGTGAGTTTGGTTTCTTTTTTGGTCCACTGCGGTTAGTACAAGAGATGAAAGTAGAAACAATCTAAATGTCATCAACAAATGAATAAACAAACTGACACATACATACACGATGGAGTATTTCTCTGCCAAAAAGAGAAATGAAGTCCTGACGCATGCTACAATACGGATGAAAACACTACATAATTCAGTTACAAAATGGCAAATACTTGCATTGTAGGGGCTCGCTGTATGTGAACTATTCAGATCAAACAAATGCAGAAAGACCAAAATCGATTACTGATTACCAGGGGAAGGAAGGAGAGAAAAAAGGGAATCATTGCATAATGGTAAAATTTGAAAATAGTGGTCATAGTTGCCCAACATGATAACATTATTAATACCACTGAATTGAACGTGTTCAAAAATGTTGACGGCTCTCCAAAACACACAAATAATTAAAAAACAAAACAGAGGAAATGTACATAGTCACTGACTCAATGCGTGCTTTCCCATGAAGTGGTCTTCCAAGTTTACTCCCTCCCACACAGGCCCAAAGCTTCCAAGGAGAGTTACTGTACGGAGGGGAGTGGGTTAGAAACTCTGGTTTACCTAAGTAAATAAAGGGTAGACACGCTACTATGATCTGTCCCGCACAAAGTAATATGTAATTCTGAAGCACTATGCTATGGAGAGACAGTAAAGCTGCCCAGTGATACACTCTTCCTTGAGTTAAAAAATGACTATTGGGGGAAGGGGGAGAGGAGCTGACACCAAGGGCTCAATTGAAAGTTAATGTTTAGAAAATGATGATGGCAACATATGTACAAATATACTTGGTACAATTGATGTATGGATTGTTATAAAAGCTATAAGAACCCCCAAAATGATCTTTTAATTTAAAAAATTAATCATTTATACTAGAACCTGGGGAACAAGGAAGAAAGAAAGCATGTTTCCAACCACAGTTACCAAGCTGCCTCAATTTTAAATAGTTGAATTTCATTTTACTGTACAGGTATTCTAAATTATTAAACCCATGCCTTATGTTTACAGTGTTTTGCTGTTCTGAATTATTCTAAGCTTTTGCACACACATGCAAATTCAGACTTCTTTCTACTGGGTAAATTCCTTGATAGAATTACTGAACCTTGACTTTGACAGAGGTTGCTGTATTACCTTCTGAAGAGACCTGATGAGAGCACATTCCCTCCAAGATATGAGCACATTTTTTTCATATCCTCATCAATAGGGCATAGAAATTTCTAACGCTTGTCTATCTCAAAGTTGTTTGAATTTGCTTTAATTAGGAGTAAGTCTAAGCAATTTTACATGTCTGTATGAGCTACTTGAATTTTTGCCCATTATTGCTATTACATTTATGTGTTACAGAAATTAGACCTTTGCAGATATTAGCGTGTTCTGTGGCCATCCAGAGTATATTCAATATTCTTCACCAATTCCATCATTCAAAGGCATCAATTCTTCTCCAGTCTTCGCTACTTATCGTGCAGCTTTTGCATGCATGGGTGAGGACCATGCCAGGTCGTAGGTGAGGCCCATCTTAGTCCTCAAAGTGACTCCTTGACACTTGAAAGAGGTCTTTGTAGCAGATCTGTCCAATGCAGTATGCAGTCTACCTTTCTGCCGGTTTACAAATCAGGAGACATACAATGGCCATTTATTATATGCCCTATCTTTTGAAAAAGAGGCCCAGGTGGCACCATGGTTGGCTGCTAACCTAAAGTTCATTTGTGGTCTGAATGCAATAGCAGCCCCAAGGGAGAGAAAAGACCTGGTGATCCGCTCTTGAGGTTACAACTGAGGCTACCCCATGGGCTGTTCCAGCCTAGAGCATCACTAGGAGTCTGGAATAAAAACATCTTTAAAATAATATACTAGAGGAAAAATCAGAAACAATAGAAACAACAAAAGCTTCAAGACAACTTTATAAAACAGTACATTAACTCTATATACCATGCATGTATTCATCAGCATGTATTCAAACACAAACATATGTACAGTTCCATTTTTCCATGAGCTTTTTGAAGCCACCTAGCATATATAAAAAGGAGTCCTGGGGATATTGTGAATTTGGTGTTGGGTTGTTAACGACAAGGTTGGGAGGTTCAAGCCCACCAGCTGCTCCAAAGAAGATAGGCGAGGCTGTCTGCTGCCTACTATACAGGGTCTTTATGAGTGGAATTGACTTGATGGCACTGGGTTTGTTTTTTTTTGGGGGGGATGTAGCACGCGCATGCACACACATGCATGCACACACACACGCGCGCGCATTTTTCTGAAGAAAAACCAGTGAGAATAGAATACTAAAGCTTTAAGGCTATTTATTTCAAATCAACAAGCATTGTAAATGAATTCGGAATTTCATAAACAGAATTTCACATTCATTAAATGTATCCTGTAGGTTTCTCTTGATATTAACATACTCTTAATTAAAAGTTACCAACTTAATAATATACCATATATACTCGGGTATAAGCTGAGTTTTCCATTACATTTTTAATGCAATTTTTGTGGTAAAATTAGGTGCTTGAGCTGATATTCGGGTCGTCTTATACTCGAGTATATAGTTGTACTTCATTCTTAAAATTTATGTGCCCTTTTATTTCCCCCACCATCTCATGTTATTATAACAGATCTGTAGTAAAGAGTTACAGCCTGACACCTCAGGGGCAGTTTTACTATTCTATAGGGTTGCTATGGGTTGGGATCAACTTCATGGCAGTGTCAGAGTTTAATAGTTACACAGCATTCAACTGTATGACGACACTACCTTCTACTTATCCAGCCTCCAACAGATACATAAGTAAATGGTTCCAATATATGTATATGTATTTTTTTAATGTTACTTTTAGTAAGCTAGCCCAAGGGTCGGCAAACTGTGGCTCTGAAGCCATACTCGGCTCAATCGGTATGTACACGTGGCTTTGAAGTAAAACTGAAAATGAAAATTCAACTTAGTTTCATTTATACAATTTTTGAAGGATATTATTCAAATAATCGTGATTTCATGTTTGTAAAAATATATTTTGGCTCTCAATTTTTAAACTGTTGGGAGGGACAGGATTGGCTCTTCAGTCTCAAAAGTTTGCTGACCTCTGACCTAGCATATAAAGGGCTTATTCTAAGCCAGGCACTGTTGTTAATTAGTTCATGTGCATAGTTCACTCACACCATAGTTAATATTACCCTTGCCTTTGACCTAGGAGGAAACAGGAGCACTTGCTCAAGATTAAAAAAACGGCGGTTAAGAATCTGAAACCCCAATAAAATGACTTAAAAAAAAAAAAAGTAAATGCCTAGAGAAGCAACGTATGTACAAATATGCCTGATAAAAATGATGTATGGGTTGTACTAAGAGCCCTCAATAAAATATTCTTTTAATAAAATAAATAAATTTAAAAAAAAAAAGAATCTGAACCAGGTGGTATGCTTCCGAAGTATATTATGTTCTTAACCTCCTCTCCTATTTCTCATGCCACATGTCAAAGAAAACCCAGAATATTTCACTGAAAACGGTATAACTAGATTGTAATTTATGAGCATGTATTCTAAAATGGCTAATAACTTATTTAAACTACCATCTGTTCGCATGCCCAAACACCTAACTTTGTAAGACAGTTTAAAATGTTGCCAATCTGGTAGGTGAAAAGTGGCACCCTCATATCAGCATGTACATCTTTTGACACTAGCTTTTCTTCCTGCTTACTAGCCAAGAAAATCTTTTGTGTATTAATTGCCAATTCATGCCCTTGGCCTATTTTTTACTTGGGTTGCCTGCTTCCTTGTCCTTTGTGGGGATTTCTTCTAAAATTCTGTGTTTCAATCCACTGTGTTACTCACGGTGCTGTTTAACTGGCTCATGCTGTGCAGGGTGTCCTCCACTGCATACTTTTTCAACTCAGATTGGGTAAAGCTTACCTATATTTTCCTTTATGGTGTTGTTATGCTGTATGTAAGAATTTAACATGTTTGTTTTTCCACTCTGCAAAGGGCCAAAATTTATTCCCAGTGGAAAAGTATAAACATATCAGCTTCCCTAACATCTTTGTTATTTTATTTTATTAATCTAAAAAGGTTGATTAACATTTCTCTGATCATCTTTTCTTCCCTATTTTTTGAGTGAATTATCTCTTCATGCATGCTTCTCACAAGTGTGTTCTGCATTTTATGCTGTCATCTTCTGACCTTTTCTGTTCCCAAGTCTGTTTTGCACATATAATATCTTCTCCACCCATGAGAGAAAAGGCCATTCTATGACACTTAATTTCTAGTATGCTTGGAGTTCTGTTTTAGAGCTTTAATCTGTATGAGCTGTGGGATCCTTACACCCATGTACATTTTCCTCCTCTGGAATTTGTTAGGCAACCAACACTTAACTGTTTGAAATGAAAGAAACAGGGATGAACTACAAACTCCTGTCTTACACAATACTGTATGCAGTGATATATGTCTTTCAGCTTTTGTCTGGGAGAAGCCTTGTAAGTAAGCGGCCCGGATCCTTTGCATTAGTTGGAAGCTGCCTTTCTTGTGATGATTCCAGGTTCCAGTGGATTCTGCATTTTCTGGGACCCCAAATCATATGCACCTGCTGAGGCATGTAGGAGGTCGTGCACAGTCCGGAGGTTTCTATGTGTCCCACATAATTCTACTCCAGGAAATGTGTCCCAGATATTATGTATGTATCAAGATCTGTATTTCATAACAAAATCTCATAAATATTCTTCAATTCAGTATGCCTTTCATTAGTGAAAACACATAGTGTCAACAAAAAATTCAAGGCAGAAAACAATTGCATCATGATAGGGTTAATTCATTTGTAATTTATTTCATATATGGTATAAGTATAAAATTTTGCTTTTATCCAAATACATAATCAACTGTTACAAAACCACTGCTTGATTAGCCCATCTTTTACATACATATGTGAAATGTCTCTTTTAACTGCATATTAAATTCTGTATGTACTCATGATCTCTCTTTAGAGTCCTTATTAGTCTACTTTTTTCTCAATCAGTTCAATGTGTTAATTACTTAGTATCACATGCTCATATTTGATAAGACATTTCTCTCATACTATTACTCTTGCTTTTCAATCATTTCTTGGTTTTATCTTAAATCAGACCAAAAAAAAAACCCAAAACAATAAATGCTCTAATTGTGAAAGAAGAACGATCTTAAGAGGGCAACGCCTCAACTGTGCACATGCGTGCACACGCACACACACTCTCACAGAGCAGGCATTCCACATTACTCATTTACCCTTCCCTGGAAGAACAACTAACAATTAACATTTGTATGACTTTCAATTTACAAAGCATTTTCACATTCATTTTGGAAGAATGGATACTTTGTCAAAGAAAATAATCTATTCATTTTAGTATTAGTGACTATATCCCAACTCAGCCTAACACTTCATTGCCAAACACACTTCTGCAACCGAAGTTTAAGCTAAATAAAACAGCTTATCTGTTTTATTAACATTCTATATGACACACATGTTAAATAGTACATGCAAAGCACAGCCACATCATAACAATTATATACTATGATGTAACATCACTACATAAACTCAGACTGCCTACTCTGAACAAAATGAAACTCTCATTGATGAAAATAAATGATGAAAACCCACAATGTTGGCTTACCGTAATCATTCAGATTCTTATTAGGACAAAATTCTGTTGTTTATCTTGCTACATAGTTGTGAACATTAACTCTGTTACTATCTGACTTATAGACCCCCTCCTAATAACTTACATTTTTCGCTATAAATGATTTGGACGACGGGATTGGGGCCATCATTCTGCGGCACAGGAGCTATATCAGCCCACTCTGCTCTGTCTCTGAAAATACAACAATGGTTTTTTCAGTGATTCTTTACGGAGAAAACAACTGTTTTGTTTTTTTAAAGGCTAACCCTACACTTACCATAGTACCAGTATGCTCTAAGAGTTTGCACTGGGCTATTCCTTAATTAGAAGGCTGGCACTTTGAATCTACCCGGCAGCACCTCCAAGAAACCCCTGGCTACCTGTTTCTGTAAGGCTTGCCATTTGACATGAAACCGAACTTTCCTTAGGGTCTTCTATGCTGTAATTTTCACAGAACAGGTTCAGCCACCCACGACACCCTAAGATCAAGAGCTGAACACTTAACCACTGTGCCATCAAGGGCCTTCCGCACAGTGATACTACCTGATATGGCTCTTGCAGCCTCATCTTCAGGAGCCCTGTGGCAGAATGGTGATCGGTAGGGCTGGTGACCCACCGGGCTTCTTTGGGAGAAAGCTGAAGCTTTCTGCTCTGTAACCCACAAGGGCAGCTCTACTCTGGCTCACCTATAGGGTCACTAAGAATCAGAACAGACTCCATCAATGGCAGTGAGTTAGGCCCTACTCTTTATAACTTCCACCAAATGACTTTTTCCTGATGGTTATGGGTCAGAGAAGATGCTGACAGGATTCTATGATTCAGTTGTGACTATTAGCGAAGCTAGCTAACAGTGACTGTAAAAACTTGGATGGCTTAATGTAGGGCCAATTCAGAAGCTGGAGGGAGGAAACTCCTTAGCAGGAAGAAAGCAGAAGCTAAAGTGGAATATGTCCCTTGGACCTCAGGAATGATGCACAAGATTCTTCAAAGGGAAAGAGGTGTGCCACCAGAGAAGAGACTGAGAAGCAGCAACCGAAGAACCAAGAACCAGAGCAGGCAGTGGGCTTTCTAGTCCAAGAGCAAGTAAAGCTGTGTTCCTTCAGGCTGAGGATTGGGGGGGGTGGGGGGTGCCTTTGGGGGTACTTATTAGCAGTACTAAAGGAGCTTTTAGCATTGCCTGAGCAGGGC